CACTTCTCTCGAGGAAATTGCCCATGAATACTAATTTCTGGTTTGTTTTTATATTTTAAAAATATTTGTAAGAAAACTTAATTTTTTTATTTTATTGTTTAAATTAATATGTTTTTAAACTATTTTAATAAACTATGTTAAAGTAATTTTTAAAAAATAAAAAAATAATATTTTAATATATTTCTAAATAAAAAATATTTTACAAAATAATTATAAGTATCCTACCAAACAAAAAAGCTCTAAACGAGCACGAGCGCGCGCTTCTATCATCCATCGTCTGTGTTGAAATTTCCACTCGCCAATTCTACCTTGGAAATGTATACGAAAACATTATTAAAAAACAAGACATCATGTCATCTGTGCTTGCTTGCTTGCTTGCTGGGAAACGTGACGTGCTAAGATAATTTTATAGCTCTATTCTAAATTTCATGCAAACCCTGAATTTTTTAAATAAAAGGATAAATTATTAATAAATATTTAATATTATACTATATTATATATGTGTGTATTATATAAAGAAATTAATTTAAAAAATATGTACCAACTCATATTAAATAACATTAATTTAAAAATATTTTTAAAATAAAAAAATTATTATTATAATTATTCTCTTTAAGTTTTTATATTTTAAAATCACTTTATAATGATTTCATTATCAATTTCATTGAATAATTAAATTGTTATTCATCTACTTATCTTCCATTCTATTTCATAATCTAATCTTAATAATATATATGGCAGAAAAAACTCTTTTAGCTGTAGTATTTATAATTAATAGAAGCAGTGACAATTTAATAAGTATATATATATTAATAAAAATATTAAATTCTTTTTTTTTTTTTTTTTTTACAAGATTAGCAATATCTTCAATACTAGAGAACTTACATTTTTATTTTTTTTACAAGACTAGCAATATCTTCAATACTAGAGAACTTACCATCATTACATAGATTAATAATATATGTATTAAGTTGGTCACCAAGTACCATGAAGGTTCATTAAAGAATTCATTTAGATAAAAAAAAGTGAGGTGAATAATTTTTTTTTATAAGAGCAAAGAAAGAGTCATTAGATTTAAATATGCTATGTAAAGAAGCAACTTTATATTTGTCTTGGTGAAACAATAATCCAATTCATTAAACTGCACATCAATAATATTATTAAATAATTTATAATATAAAAATATAAATTTATAATTTTTAGATATTTTTGTCTTGAATACCTATAAAACTTTGATATTAATGAAACATAACAAGTTTTAATGATATAATCACAAACCCTAGAAGTAGTGACAAAAAATTCTCTGTAATTTTATGAATATTTATAGTTTTTTTCTCTGTATACGTGAATTAGTTTTTATTTTATCATAAAATAAAATCATCATATATCCCTTCACTTCTCTATTTATTAAACAAAAATATAAGGAAGATCTGAGACAACCAATTTATAATTCAAATATCGGAAGCGTTTTTTAATGAATTCAAAAATAAAAGTTTTTGCTTTACAAGGAAAATGCAAATATTTACAGCACAGCATATTCATGCATGGTTTATTGACTTTTTACCTTCTACAAAATGTAACTTAAAGCCATTATATTAATATTTTGATGTAATTTTTATTTTAAAAAAATACAGAAGCTAAGTGGCAGCTGCCCCTTTTTGCTCAATTGTGGCTCCGGCCCTGGTTATATATACAATATAGCTACTACCACGCAGTAGTTAGTTAAGTTTAATACAATCACATACCACTAATTAATCATTAACTACAAAATAATACATCTGGTATGGCGAGAAAATTTTAAATTAAAAAAAATATATAAATATTTAATATTATATATTATATAGACATGTATTTTATATAGAGAAATTAATTTGAAATTCATGTACTAATTTAAAAATATTTTTAAAATAAAAAAATTTATATTATAATTATTTTTTTCAAATTTTTATATTTTAAAATTACTTAACAATGGCTTCATTATTAATTTTATTAAAGATATTATTTTTAACTTTTGTGAGGACTAGTAAAATTATTGGCAACAATTCTTTGTTAATTTATTATTTTATACAAGTAGGTTAGATACAAATATAAATATAAATATATTTTTTTATTGTATCTCTAATTTTTTTTAGTTATCTAGTACTTTATTTGCAATAGTACTTTATTTGCAATCATTAGTATGTTAATCACCATTATTTTTCTTATAGAATTTATAATAAAATATATATTATTTTATTAAAACTCATTTCAATTCATATTCACATATATATATATAATATTATATATAAACATATTAATTTAATATATCTATAAATTATCATATTATTAAGGAACAAAACTAAATTAAATAATTAAATAAATAGAAAAATAAATGAAATTCACTTAAAACATTAAGCATGAAGCATAAAAGATTACTTATTTAATCAATAGTTTAAATTATAGAAGAAAAATATATAGAAATAATAATTAAATTTTTTTATTAAATTATTATATTAAAATTTTAATATAAAATATATTAAAGAAAAAAGATTAAGAGAGCAATTGCCTCCTTAATCCCTGTTGGCTCCGCTATTGGTCTAATTAATAATTGCATGTAGTTGGCCATCTAGGTGGTGGTCAAGTGGTAAGGACTTGGGATTAAGGGGTTTGTTCTCTCTGTATTCAAAGGTTCGGGTCTTTGGTTGCAAATATAATAGCCACTAGAGGCTTACATGGTCATTAACTTCAGGACCCGTGGGATTAGTCATGGTGCGCGCAAGCTGACCCGAACATTCATGTTAATCTAAAAAAAAAATTGCATGTAGTTGATAGAAAACCAATAACTACTTAGCAAATCTCCTTGATGAATTTCCACGCATCCAGCTGCTTATTTATTTATCTTAGTTTGGTTTAAATAAGTACGTGCATGTTTTGTATGCATAGTATATAATGTTTTTTAAATATATTTTTTATTTATAAATATATTAAAATAATTTTTTATATTTTAAATTTATAATATCATCACATCAAAATTTTAAAAATAAAATATTAAATAAAATATTTTTTTAAAAAAAATATATTTAAATACAAGTGAAAACATGGTATCAACAAGTCAAGTAGACTTTCTTTCCATTTGTCACCTATATTCTTTATCTTAGCTATTCCTAATTTTTAGATATTGTATGTTTGTTTGTTTTTGTATTTTAAATATATTTTAAGAAAGTGAAAAATTTTTATTTTTATTTTAAATTAATATATTTTATTTTTATGTTTTTAGATTATGTTGATGAGCTGATATCAAAAATAATTTTTTTAAAAATAAAAAAAAAATTTAATATATTTTTAAATAAAAAATATTTTAAAACACAATTACAACCACTTTTCCAAACATCTTTACCAAGAAAGTGTGTTAAATGAGAAGGTAATGGACAATACTATCAAGATAATACTTGATTTTTATTTTTTTTAAAATATTTTTTAAATATATTAAAATAATTTTTTTTAATATTCTCTATTTATTTTAACATGGTAATGTTAAAGCTAAATAAATTTAAAAAATATATATTTTAATATATTTTTAATTAAAATTTTTAAAGAAAAAAAGTATTAGGGGTTTAGCATCATCGTGTTTTAAAATTATTTTAAAAGAAATTTAAAATTTATTTTTTTAATTTAAATTAATATATTTTTAATATTTTTAAATTATTTTAATATAATGATATTAAAAATAATTTTTTAAAAATATAAAATATTATTAATATATTTTTTAATAAAAATATTTTAAAAATTAATCACAACAACATTTCTAAAATCATTAAATTGAAAAGGGAAGTGGGTGACGTCATTACGTAAACGTCATGCATATAAAAACCCCGTCAGCATCATTCACGTGGACCCTCTATATTCTCTTTCTTTTTTTTCTCATTCACACATTGCCCATGACAAGGTTTTTTTTTTTGTTAAAAAAAAAACATGTCCATTAAAAAAACAACATTGCAATCAATAAAAGATTTATCACCGAGTAATTTGTTAAAAAAAAAATATAAATTGTGTTAATCACATCAACGGAATCTTTTAATTACTTTTTATTTTATCAGGTTGCATATTGAAAATAGCGACCAATAAAAATATTTTATTTCTCAATCCTTTTTCATAGTTGTGCTATATTTGCATGCTTTTTTTTTTTGTTGATCATGATATTTCAAAAAAACCCTTTAAATTATTAAATAAATATAGTTTGTGACGTTATCTATGAATTAATTAATTTTTATGAATTAAAATCCATGTAAATTAAATTATATGGATGTACAATGAGGGATGTATAATAAGGAGGATTATTATACTTATTTCTTGAACTAATATATAAATATCATAATAGACTTAATTTATTTAGTGATTTTCTCCATGACATGAGAGGGGTACAGAGACCCCATCACTACCATGAACAAGCTAGTACGTATATATAGATATATCCTAATTAAGTTTGAGAGGCTCATTTGGGTCGGTGGGAAACTTGACCTTTGATAATTAGTATTTAGTCATCACTCACGAAAAAAGCAAACATGAAGGTGTTGTTTCTCAGAGATTTTTTATATGTATTCTTAAATTATTTTAAAAAATTAATATTTTTAATTTTAAAATATATTAAATATTTTTTTAGTGTTTTCTAATGATTTTAATATACTAATATAAAACTATAAAAAATATTTTGATATATTTTTAAATAAAATAATTATTTTAAAAAATACTTCACATCACTGTCTCAAATACTCTAAAATTTCATTAGAATTTGGATAAGGGTTTATTATAGACTATCATTCGATAATTTTCCATTAAAGAATTAAAAAAATAATTTATCTATTTATAAGAGAATATGGTTTTAATAATTTAACTAATTTTTTTATAACGACTTTATTGATATTTTTTTTAATAAATCAGATGGGTTTCATATATAATAATAATAATAATAAAAGCTTATGAATAATAATAATAATAAATATCATCTTGCACTCCTTCTTTGTCTTTTGTGTTTTCTACCAAAAGATTGAGCATACTTCTCGCCGAACACCTTTTCTCTTGGTGTGAATAATCAACTGTGACCATGAGTGAAGTTTCTCAGACCGGAGAAACCTCCATGTATGTTCTTTTACTATGCTTTCCACTCCTTTTTATCCCTTCTCTTTCTTCTCTTAGATGGAGAAGTATGGAGAAATGCTCATGAAATTAAATGAGCACTTTCTATGCAGCTTCTGGATATCAAGCTAGGGTTTTAAGTTCTGATCTTTTCCTATCCTTCTCAGATTCTATTGTATATATTATCAGAGCTACTATGAGATCCATCCACCCATCCATTGTATGTGTTTCTCTTAAAATTCGAAGCAAGACTTCTTCTTCCTCCTCCTCCTCCTCCTCTTCTTCTTGAATTAGTAATTGGGACATGATTTGATCTCGAGAACTCTTTTATCTCACTACTTGTAAGCAATACTGTGAAAAAATCTTTCTGATTATCGAAGAAAGAACTGAGTTAGTGTTTTTTTAATTATATTTATGGATTCCATTCATATATATATATATATATAGATCTAGATCTTTAAGAGCTAAAAACACAGTTTGATTATTTTTTCTCTCCCAAGGTTAGTTTGTGTTGATTTCCTGGTGCCAAAAAAATTATTTTTACCCCTCATATATTTATTTTTTTTAAGGGAAAAGAAAATGAAATCTAGCCTCATGATGCAAACACAGCTAGCAGTCGCATGCTCGTCGATATCAACGTCCCCACCATGATTATTATATGCAATAATGCACTTTCAGTTTTATTAAGATGATCTCTTCACTACTGCGGTGATTGTTTTTCATTCTTTAGCCAACAATAACCATTAATTTTGCTTTCAGTACTACTTGATTTGTGTTTTTTTTTTTTTTTGATTTTGATGACAAATACACTCTCATCACCTTCTTGCAAGAGCTATATATATATACACTGTATTCTATGCAATATCATATTCGTGCATATATATTGTCAAACTCTTTTTCCCAGCATGTGTTGGTATTAATTATACATATATATAGGCAATTCGAATACAGTAAACAATTGTAAACAGAATATATATATATATATATGTTTATACTAAAGCAACTAATTAAATCACTCCGTGCTCTATATATGTATAATTATTAATCAAGGGAAACTACTGAGGAGGATAAAGAAGAGCAGCAGCAGCAGCATACAGATCGAGGAAGGCGGAGATTGGTGCTGCCAGAAGATGGGTTTGAATGGAAGAAATATGGCCAAAAGTTCATCAAAAATATTGGAAAATTCAGGTACGTTGAATTTTCTATGCATGTTGTATGTGTTGCATCTTTCTCTCTACATACGAGCGCGAGTGATGTGTGTGTGTGTGTGTTGTATGTGTTGCATCTTTCTCTCTACATACGAGCGTGAGTGATGTGTGTGTCAGTGTGTGTGTGTATATGTATATATTGATCATCATACATCAAGGGGTTGTGTGTGTATATATATTGATCATCATACATCAAGGGGTTCTTCCTGGCAAATTATATGTGGAAGATAAGATTTGAATCCTTGTTGCAGCTGCTTCTTGTTTAGGTTGCATTTGACTAGCATTTTAAAATTAAAAAGCAAATACTAAAATTAAGGAATAAAGAGTTGAAATAATATTGATGATAGAAATAAATCTACTTCTATAATAATCTTTTAGTAATTTTTTGTTATTTTAAAACATAAAAGATATTATCCTTCTATATATATATATATATATATCTGAATTATATTTGTATTTTATATTTTGAAATAGTAAGTATAGATTAAATACATATAAATTTCCTTGTACAAATTAATTAATATATATGGCCACGCCGGCAGCTTGTAATTAAGATATATAGCACGCATGGTGCAACTGTATATTATATAATAAAATTAGAAGGGGAAGAGGGAACCTCTGGTTCTTCTATATCAGACGTTGTCCATGTATAATTAATAATCACCTCCTGCGTGCAGTTCTCAATCTCACATCAGATGCAGAAATATAATTATATAGAAGAAATTAAATGTCTGAGATATTAATCAGGAGCCTAATTGTGTTAGATGAGATTGAGAATCCGCTAGGTATGTAATGCTGTGAGTTAAGTGCTAATTATATATGGAGGTTAATATAATTTCCATATTAAAATGAATATTAATTGTTCTATGTATATAGAAGCGACACATGCATGGTTATATTAATTAAGTAATTACAGGGGCTACTTTAGATGCCAGAAGCGAAACTGTATGGCAAAGAAGAGAGCAGAATGGTCCAGCCCAGAAAACCTTCGAATAGTATACGAGGGATCACACAGCCATGCCTCGTCTACACAAGATTATTCTTCTGCTTCCTCACAAGGGACTCCTCCTTCCTCAGCTGCAAACCAGTACAACCTGTACACTCAACTCTTTGGAAATCAACCGGCTTCAAGCACGCACGATCAAGATCATACTTGACTCAACTTGTTAAGTACTCCGTAGCTAGCTAGCTAGCCGCTACCATCATTTGATTCCACTGCTCATTGATCGATCATGTAATTAAGCGCTGTAAATATGCCATAATTCTTGACAACTTGCTGGGTTCTGGAAAACTTGATAAATAAATAAGCCAGCCAGGAAGGATCGATGTTACTGAAGTAAATAATAGGAGTGAGGAAAGCTTCATAATTAGTTGCGGTGTTTGTTCGAGGCCACACGCTAATTTCTTGCTTGTAGGTTCAGGATTGCTATTAAAGCCCAGTTATTCATGGGCTTGGCCGAATGAATTCTTCTTGTGGTCTTATGGTGGCTCTCTTGTAAATACGTGAATCCAAGACTATAATTGAATTTAATAATAGGATAGAAAGTTAGAAATTCATTCCAATCACCCGCAGTCTACAATATCGATGGTTCTAGAGTGTTCTTGTGCACGACAAATCAAACGGCAACAAGTTTCAAACAACGGTCTAGATTCGCTGAAAGTTGAACTGTCAAGACGAAATCCCAAATACGACCACCCTTACGTCGTTTAAAGAAAGAGAAAACCCTACTCCTTTTCTCTTTAGCTCTCGAAGTAGTGCAAGCAGAGAGAGTGTCCATAAGATAGACCTACATACCCTTACCTAGCCACCATCGCCTCTTATCCATTAAACCCCCTTCTCCTAAACCCTGTTCCACCACCACCGGCCGTTCCACTTCTCTGTAAGTTCACTGACACGTTTCTTCTTCTGCGTCTTCTTCCCCCGTCTCCTCTGCCTTTAGTGTGATAGAAGTTTCAATCTTTAAACTGTTACTTTTCTTCCTTTTCTTCTTTTTGGATGCCGATCATGGTAGCTAATCAAAACTTGCTACCGTATTTCAGTTCCTGCTGTTTTGATTCATAAAGGGAAATGAGTTATTTTAATTATGCTGTTTCATGCTTGCTGTGATGCAATTTCGTTAGAAATCCACCTGTTCCTGCAGGTCTTATTGGTTGGTGATTCGAATTAGTTGAATAAATAAACTTTTTGTTGTTTGGTTTCTAATTTGTGATTTTGTGAGTTATCTAGTTCACCACGTAGCTCTATTGCTTCATGGGAACTTTGTTGCTGTAATCAAATGAATTTAGCTTGGGAGAGAATTTTAGCTGGAAAGTATAACGATTAAAACCTATGTGAGCTTAGAAAAAACAATCCTTATAGAAATTCATTATTCTTTTGTTTGTTTTGTTATCAGGTATTAAATAATAAAAATGGCATCAACGTTTACTGCCATGTCCTCAGCTGGAGCCTTGGCTGCTCCTAATGCCCGTGCCATGGATAAGAAGTTTGCATTTTCTTCAAACAAGTTGTCATCTTTTGCTTCCATTTCTGCAAGTCGATTTGGTAGACCACAGAATGTAGTTCTACCAAGATCGCGTTCTCTCAAGGTTAATGCGGCCAAGGAGCTTCATTTCAACAAGGACGGGTCAGCAATTAGGAAATTGCAAGTGAGTTTTGGGTTGCTGGTTTTGTTCAGTATTTGCATCTTGTTGCAGCGTGTTTGTATGATTTTATCTGCCTTTTGCTTACCAGATTTGTTCTTTTATTGCAGACTGGTGTGAACAAGCTTGCAGATCTAGTTGGGGTTACCCTTGGACCTAAAGGCCGGAATGTTGTTCTTGAGAGCAAGTACGGTTCACCTAAAATTGTCAATGATGGTGTGACTGTTGCTAAAGAGGTATGCTTTATCTGGCTGTTTTGTGTCTTTGATAACTTGAACATGAGATTTCTATCCTCTTGTATCATTTTTTCAGAACAATATTTGCAGCTAGAAGATGCATGCTAGAAATTGTAGTCGTAGCTATCCAATTCAGATGAGGCAAACTATCTATGTGGCATTCCCCTATATGTTATTTTGTTACTCCAAATAAGATTCATGAGCTTCTGGTGGCTTTCTCTAGGCATGATGATTATTAACAGGATGCTTTACCTTAAATTTCCAGGTTGAATTGGAGGATCCAGTTGAGAACATTGGTGCTAAGCTAGTGAGACAAGCTGCTGCCAAGACAAATGACTTGGCTGGGGATGGGACCACAACATCTGTTGTTCTTGCACAGGGCCTTATTGCAGAAGGTGTCAAGGTTGGTATGGTGGTTCATACAATGTATTCTGTGAAGATATGTTGAACGTGTCAATCTCACCCATTGTTTTGCTTACAGGTTGTGGCTGCTGGTGCCAACCCTGTTTTAATCACTAGAGGCATTGAAAAGACCTCAAGAGCTCTTGTAAATGAACTTAAATTGATGTCAAAAGAGGTATGTAAAGTCGGTTGGACCATGCTTGTGGGTAATTATCGTTATGCAACTGTGACCTTTGTATATATGCATTGAAACGCTGAGAAAGGACAGAGTGGTTATAATTTGAGTTTGCAGGTTGAAGACAGTGAACTTGCAGATGTGGCAGCTGTGAGTGCAGGGAACAACTATGAAGTTGGGAATATGATTGCGGAAGCCATGAGCAAAGTTGGTAGGAAGGGAGTGGTGACTCTTGAAGAGGGAAAAAGTGCTGATAATAGTCTCTATGTCGTTGAGGGAATGCAGTTCGACCGTGGTTATATCTCACCTTACTTCGTCACTGATAGTGAAAAAATGGCAGTTGAATATGACAACTGCAAGGTATGTGGTCACAGCTAGTCAAGCGGGCCTTTGCAGTTGATTTTTCCTGCCGCGTTGACAATTTCATTTGTTTTGGTGCAGTTGCTTCTTGTTGACAAGAAAATAACAAATGCTAGAGATCTCATTGCCATTTTGGAAGATGCAATTAAAGGTGGATATCCAGTTGTAATAGTTGCTGAAGACATCGAGCAAGAAGCTTTAGCTACTCTTGTTGTCAATAAGCTTAGGGGTGCTTTGAAGATTGCTGCCCTCAAAGCTCCTGGTTTTGGGGAACGGAAAAGTCAGTACCTTGATGACATTGCTATTCTGACTGGAGGTTAGGGTTCTACTTAGGATTCTTTGCTTTCTATCTGATTTTATTTTTGTTCATGGTGTTCTGCTATCATGTTCTCTCAATGTGGATATGAACATACACCACTGATATTAGCTCTCTCAATGTGGATATGAATGCGTTCCTTACTTGTTTGCTGTGGAGTGGATATGAACATACACCACTGATATTAGTATTTTTATTTTGTTGATGTTGAGAGATTTCTTTCATTGGCTTTCAGGAACTGTTGTTAGAGAGGAGGTGGGGCTTGCCTTGGACAAAGTAGGCAATGAGGTCCTGGGACATGCTTCTAAAGAGGTTCTTACCAAGGATACAACCACCATTGTTGCTGATGGAAGCACCCAAGAAGCAGTAAATAAGAGAGTTGCGCAGATTAGAAATCTTATTGAGGTGTCGATTCTCCTTGCCTTTCACTCCCAACAAAATGTTTGGTGTTTTTATTTTTTCCCTGTAGTAGTAGTTTATTGCCGCTAAATGCAAGATATAAAAATGCAGGCTGCTGAACAAGACTATGAAAAGGAGAAGCTCAGTGAAAGAATTGCAAAACTGTCAGGTGGTGTTGCAGTGATACAGGTAATTTCTCTATCACTTACAAAACAGAGACACAAAACAGTGTAGATTGTATCTTCACTTAAATGGAAGTGCTTTTGAATGTTGGAGGTTGGAGCACAAACAGAGACAGAGCTTAAAGAAAAGAAACTGAGAGTTGAAGATGCTCTAAATGCAACCAAGGTAATTTTTCTCATGCCACCATCCTCTGTATTGTTCTTATGTTCTAGGTAAGTTGTTTGGACTCAAATCATTCTTTATCTCAATGGTTTTTAGGCTGCTGTTGAGGAAGGTATTGTGGTTGGTGGTGGATGCACCCTGCTGAGATTGGCATCAAAGGTGGATGCCATCAAGGACAGCCTTGAGAATGATGAAGAAAAGGTAATTTGCCAACATTTTAGGAACTCATTGAATGTTCTGTAAAGGAACAATCGTAGGAACCCAGTAGTGATCTATTTTTGCTCTATGTAAGGGTTGTTGCCGAGCTGCTTAGAAAGTGCCTTGCCTCAATTGTTTTTGCATGATTACAGGTCGGAGCAGACATTGTAAAGAGAGCTCTGAGCTACCCCTTGAAATTAATAGCCAAGAATGCTGGTGTTAATGGAAGTGTGGTCAGCGAGAAGGTATCAAACTTTGCCAATGTCAAATTATGGTACTGTGTGTGGTCCAGGACTGCCTGCAGCTAAGATAATCGCTTCTTCTTTTAGGTGCTCGCAAGTGACAATCCTAAGTTTGGATACAATGCTGCAACTGGAAATTATGAAGATCTGATGGCTGCTGGAATCATCGATCCAACGAAGGTGACTTACTATGTGGATTTACATTGGGGGGGTTACAACTTGTGATTTGCTTTCAATGGAAAAAGTTTCTGTTGGCTCTGATAACTGTGTAGTTGGATTTAAGCATAAGATGTGGTTGGGTTTAAATATAATATTGGGGAATTCTGTCCTTTTCAGAGTGGTTCAACTAGTAGTTAGTTGTTTGGGGATTTTGTCTCAAAACTAAATACGGAAATCTTCATTCAGGTGGTCAGATGTTGCCTGGAGCATGCATCATCCGTAGCTAAGACTTTCTTGATGTCAGATTGTGTAGTTGTTGAGATTAAGGAGCCTGAATCGGTGCCTGCTGGCAACCCCATGGACAACTCAGGTTTGTTCTTCTGAACGATGAAACCAAGTGGAATTCTGCTGCCGGTGTTGTTCTTCCACTGTTAAGTGCTTTGTTTCTCTAGTGACTGCCTCACCAAGTGTCTGTTCTCTTGCCTTGTTGTTGCAGGATATGGGTACTGATGAAGCAGCTGTGCAAGACATGACGAGGAGCAAATAAAAGCAGCCCCCCTCGTACTAGAAATGATGTTTAGTTTGATTGTGGTAATTTTTTTTGTTTGTAAATCTGATTACCGGTGCTGGTAGAGGTTATGTTTTCTGGTGAGGGTAGCTTGCCGGGACACGGGATGTATTATTCACCTGCAATTATTTGTACAATTGCGCAATGTTTTTGAACCAGCTCGAGTTACAAGTCTCATCTTTGGTTATGATACACCAAATAGCTCGAGTTACACCTTCAGCCCCCTCACCGGTTGCCAAATCTGATGGTCTGCTGATATCACCATAAATGGTGGTTGGTCATGGTTCGTT